ATATATATATATATATATATATATATATATAATTTATAATGCTGCCATAACGTCACATTTTAGTAGTTCTACAAAAACAATCTATCAAAATAAGTAAGGTAAGGTTTGCTACCTTTAGTATTATAGTGGATAAATTCTAGCAAGTGAAATTTGGAGATGAGTAGCTAATAGACATAAGAAACTTGTTGATCTGAATTTGCGGAAACTTGTGCACGTTGTTGCTTTGGTCTTAATTGCCCAAATATTCGTTATCAGTTTTGGTGGTGACACTTTGCGCTTTTTTAGACCTCCCTTCTATCCGAAGTAGCGTTTCTTTGTCTCTGATTTAGAAGAGGTCGTTATAGTTGTGTATTGTGTGATTTTATGTTGGTGTTAATGATTCCGTTAAAGTTGTGCTAAATATCAGGGGAAAAGGTGAAGTGGGGGAATATTCGAATGTTTTTGTATTTGATGGATTTGATGGGGGTAATAAGATGGTTATGTGCAGCATCTGCAGATATATATTTCCGAAAGTGGAGTACAGTTTAGTAGCAAATCAGAAAGTCTTTTGAAGGTGAGTATTTCAGGTAATCATAAATAGTGAGTTACACTTTTTAAACACTTTTGTGATTACATATATAAATATATATTTGTTCTGTATGTTCATTTGTATTTGTTGTTAAATGATGGTTGCTGCTTCCTTCATTAGTGCTTGGAAAAGCTGCTTGGTTGTATTGAAGTTTAAACAGACTTATGTTTTAATTTTGTTTGGTAATAAATAATAAGCCGTAACAGTTTTGAGAGTATTGATTCTCGAAGAATTGTTTAGGTTGGTGAGTTATTCTATATTTTATTTTTTTCTATCGTACATGCATGTCTTTCACTGGTTCCTTTACGGTTTTTGTTTACTTCTTATTTTCGTTTCACTATTTTGGCGTCTTAGAGCAGTATATAAATTTTTGTCTTGTTTGTGAACTGTCAGCAAATTGCCCAGTTGTTCTACAGTTCACAATTTTTTATGGTTTAGTTGTATAGGTAGTGCAAAATTAAAAAAAAAAAAACCGAAGTAGTTGTGTAGTATACCAGTATACAATTCATTAAACTGTTAGAGGCTGTGGGAGGGATTTCGGCTGGTACGGCAAACAGCATTTTGCAGTTGATTTAGAGACTGATCTTTTTTCTCCGGAAAAACTATGCCCTGGAAGTTATTATAGTGCTGGACAAAG